TCATTACAATTGCAACGACGAACAGAAATTCTCAAATCAGAAACAGTTCTTCAGTTCCCACAGCTTTACTTGGCAGGGTTATAATCGGATAATTTGGTTTTATACACTGAGTTGACAATTTAAATTGGCAAAGCACTTGAAAGAGTCAGTAAAAACTGACGTTTCGAGTGTTAGCTATTCGTCAGAGTGAATACATTAGCTCAGCGAATGGAAGAGGGCGAAACAAAACCGGATATTTAAAATATCGAAAGCTGATTTTATATTTCATACAGCTCAAGCGGAATTTCGGAGATCTGGGGTTAGTTTAGTATAGGTAATCGGATAGGGCCGAGTAAAATAAAGGATTAATATCACTTGTGTTTTCTGAAGTTGCTGAAATTGCCCGACTCGCTTCGCGACTTGGGCAATTTCAGCAATTTCTGAAAACCCAAGTGATATTAATTGTTAATTTTACAAGGATCCATTCGATTACTTGTTAATGAAATTGAGGTGAAACTTACTGAATTTCTGAATGCGCTCTTCAGTAATCAGTCATAGGAAGCCATTTAAAGTTGACAAAGAATCAATGGCCACAAACGCACAAATGAGCTGAATGAAATTTAATTTTTGCACAAAGATACCATGACTTTGGATAGGCTTTTGATTTTAGATATTTCACCAGTGATGCCTGCATTACTTTCAGGCAGTCGGGCTCATATTCATCCCCGTTTTCTTTTCGTAACTCGGCATAAAACTGCGCCAGTGTTCGGTCGAGGACATCGCTCTCGTACTCTTCTAAATTTGCTTGGAAGTTTCTTTCATTCGCCCACTTTTTAAAAACGTTCTTCCAGTACTCCGTGCTTTTCCTCGTGTTTTATTTTTCACTCTTGTCTTTTAATTCTTCGATATATTCCTCGCCAACTATCTCTAGTAATTTTGCCCTCTTCTGAAGCAAAATTAAGAAGAAATGCCCTCTTCATTGACAAATCAGCATTCAGTCATTTTTCCCTCTATTTTATAAATAAAATACACTTGTAGCTTTTACACGTGTAATTTACTCGGGTAAAGTCTGATTTGTAAATACAAGTATTTAATAAAATAATATTCTACACCGGAATTAACACGTGTATCTCGAGTCAGAGCACAAATGTAAATTACAGTTGTAGAATTATAGGAGCCTTCTTATCACTGTTACGTCCGCTAGAATGTAATAAGTGATTTTTTTACATATGCAATTAAAAGTCGCTGCTGTCCTTTCAATGTATGCGGCTTTGCTTCCTTTGCTTACAGTTTTATTTGTAAACAGACGTTAAGCATGTTCTTCGAATGGCAAAAGCTGCTTTTGGCTCAGCTCGTCAAGGAACATAAAATGATAGTTCTGGCGCCATTTTCGCTGACAGTGGCGAAGAAAGTAAAGCAAGAAGTGTGGGAAAAGATTTGTAGGCAATTAAACGGCGTTAGCGCAAGTATAGACAGCGCCAAAACACTTCTAGATGTTTTATGGGCCAGTATTCGCAGGGCTACTCTCAAAAACGTTAGCGAATCTAAGAAGACGGGTGTAGGGGGAAGTTGAGAGCCCACAGAGCTAGACGAGACTGTCCTCAATGTTTTAGGCCACGAAAGTACAAACACAGAGCCCTTGAAAGTCGACGATTCAGATATTGTATTTGGAGAGGAGATCATTGTTGCAACAACTCCTAGCTTTGAAGGTAAAATAATTGTAACCCATATTTAAATGTTTCAACTATCTTAAACGTGCCTTGTTGGTAATGAAATGAGAATGTTTTTTAATGCGTTTTCAAAAGGGTGAGGAACTATTGTATGATGCCAAACTGGAGTAAAAGTTTTATAAACCAACTCAAATCTTTAGCCGTTTCGGAAGAGGTATCTCATCTTGGATCCTGAAACCCTAGACCCCACCCTGCGACACTTATCCTTCCCCAACACGGACAAACCCGAGCGACTTCTAACCCAACATATGATGAAGTTACGTTCAATTTCTTTTGCACTAGGTGGCGTTGGAAGTTACACTGAGGAAGTGCGAGTTTCTACTGCAGAAACAGGGATTGGTGAAGCAAAAGAAGTTAAGTGGACATAGTGGTGCCAGCTCACCACAAATGTTACCCAGGCAGGCAATCGCCGAAACACCAACGCCAACAAAATTAGACGCAAAGCTCTGCCATTAGCTGGAAAGAAAGGAGCACTCAAGGCTAATGGGAAATCATCAGCTGCAGAAAAGAAGAGAACGACATACTGCGGCTTAGAGAGAGAAAGCTCCAAGTAGAAAACGTTAAGCTGAGATTGGAGATAAAAAAACTGAGAAAGGATCTTGAAAATTAATTTCATTAAACGGCGTCCAAAATGTAAATTAAAATAATTATATAAAAGTAGCCTTTGGACATTTGTCGAACTTACTATATTGTAATGCTATTGATAGTCTAAGGAATACTGTAAATTGGTGATGGGCGATATCAGAATTATGACCTACATGTACACTCATTTTTTCCTTTGGAAGTTAGGTGTAAGTGACTTTGTGTAATAAAAGGTAATGATTATCGTCATTGAATAAAAAATGGCCCATTTAATTGGCTCGATATTAAAACAGTGGCAGTTTTTAATTCAGCGTCATTTGTATAAGTCCTCACATTTATAGGAAGTGCTGCAACAGCTGCTGCCTTCTGTCCTCTTGTTCCTTTCCAGGACCGATATCCAACTCATCGTGGACATTGTTAAGATCTGCATCGTCCGGCAGATCACCGCCATTATCGCTAAATAGGATGCAGAGGTTGTGCAATATAACAGCGCACTGGACAAGCTCGGCAGCTCTTGTCATGTTTTTCACTCTCATACCCGTGTGGAGAGCGTAAAACGTTCTCTTGTGAACGCCAAATGCCCTCCCGATTGTGCATCGTGTTTTCTTACGCGCCTCAGTAAACCTGCAGCGAGCCCCTTCTACGTCTCCTCTGAAAGGGGGGATCAACCAATTGTTACCGGCAAAGGCAGAGTCGCCTAAAATAACTGCTCCTGGGAATGGTCTATTCCCCTGTTGCTCTAAGGCGGTCTACAGTCAGCTTTTTTTAATCACTCGTAATCATGCCATCTTCCTGGGCATCGACTGCTACAGAAGTAGAATCTGTAATCTGGGCCTGATACCATGGCTATATTCAGAGATTTAGAATGATGGCGGTTGACGTAGGCGTCTTCATCATTGTGAGGTGGGTTCACTTAAACGTGAGTTCCATGACGCATCCTGCAACACACAGAAAGCCTGCGATGTCTCTGAGTTTAGCGGCGATACTTAGAGGCTGGCCAGGCCATCGTATGAACTCCCCCTTCAAGCTTAGTATTGCAGGGATAACGCGATGAATGATATGCCATACTGTTGATGTGGAGATACAATGAAAAAAAGAGTGCATTACGTGATAGAAGAAATTTGTTCCAAGGAAGTGGAGAAATACTAAGTTGCTGTCTTGCCATTACTGCTCTGTTAGGTCTCGTTCTATGCTCCAAGCGCGGGCCTATTAATTCCAAAAGGCGGACGAAGGTGTCCACAGGCAGTCGAAACTTCTCTCGAAATTCCCTTGGATTTTCGGTGTCGAAAAGCCGTCTGTTTTGGAAATTGCTAGGTCGACGGATAACTTGACGTCTTAGCAGTTCGTCGAGTTCCTCATCACGAGAAGATGACATATTGTGACGCTCCCATGTCCTTTTTCAGAAGAAGTACTCAGTGTTTAAAAGTGACCTGCGACATGTATTATCCACCTGTGATTTGCAAGTCGAACTCTTGTAAAAATACAAGTTTGACTCTTGTAAAAGTTTTATTAAACTGGATACTTACCATCTTTTATACTTGTAGCGCTACACCTGTAATTACAAGTCGGACACTTGTAACCTGGACTGATAACGATGTTTCTTAAACTCGTTTTCTGACACTTGTAACCTGGACTTGTAAAGATGTTTATTAAACTAGTTTTCGTCTGCACTTGTATATATAACGGTCTAACTTGTAGATTACGAGTGTAGAAGTTTTATTAAATTGACCCCTGCAGTATATGAGAAAATACCAATAGATAAGCGAGGGAGATGACTTTTTCGTATAATTCTGTATGGATCAAACCTTCTCGTATTGGTTTCTACGTCGAAAGAAAAACGGGAAACAAAAAAAAAAAGTCCCTATTGTGTCTCCATACTACGAACGGTTAAAATTCACCCTATTCACACACAGAACATTACTAGGTTACAGAGGTCATGTGATCAAAAGGGCGCGAAACTGAACAAACAGGGAAGCCCGCTAACAATCTTAGTACAACAGAATGATGTAGCAAGACTGCGAGAACGATCAGAACGCGTTAAAAACACATCAGTCACTCAGAAATAGCATTATAATACGATTCACCCTGCAATCAAGTTTTACAGAAATTATTATAGCAGCTAAACTAAAAATGGTTCGGCAAGTCGAATTCCACACTTTTGCTCTTGGTTTTTTAGCGTTGATGCAGAATCTTAGAGTGAAATGTTCAAGAGGAATGGAAATGTGATCAACCTACAGCGAATGTTTTAAAAATGGTTCATTCTGATCAATGTCAATTTTTAACCAATAACTGGGTTTTCAGAGAATCTTTACGAGATTTAACATAAATTTTGCAAATTTTCATTACAATTGCAACGACGAACAGAAATTCTGAAATCAGAAAAATTTTCTCAATTCCCACAGCTTTACTTGGCAAGGTTATAATCAGATAAATCGGTTTTATACGCTGAATTGACAATTTAAAATGGCCAAGCACTTTAAAGAGTCAGTAAAGCTGACGTTTCGAGTGTTAGCTATTCGTCAGAGTGAATACATTGGCTTAGCGAACGGAAGAGGGCGAAACAAAACAGGTTTATCGAAAATATTTAAAATAGCGGCGTGATTTACTTGTATCAAGAGCACCAGGAAGTTTAATGATTTAAATTGAAAGTAAATGAAACGAAACTGACATCCTTTATTTCATTTTCACGTTGTTTATTGTATTTTTAACGGAGAAGTTACATGGAAATCAATGTTAAACCAGGAACAAAACCTATCAAAATGATGGTCATATATGCCCGTGTAGTGTGATGTTTCTATTGGCCAAACGCAAAATATACTTAAGCTAAGGCTTTTCTTATGCTAATTCAATTTAATCAAAGCGGTGGTGAGCGTGAAATGGACAAGGACGAGAAACAAGATAGTCATTACATCTTGAACGAGCAAGGTGACCTATAGTTTTTATTGCGTAATTTTGGTGTACAAATAGTCCTTTTTAATTTGGAGATATTATAAAAAAATTTATCAGAGGGAAAAAAGATATAGGGAAAAGGGTTTACGAAGCCTCTTACTCGATGATGCAAATTAAATTTTAACCTTAAAGGCCCGTCGTCTCTTAAACAAGCACAGTGAACTGTCTTTTTATATGTATATTTCGAAATAGACGTTGGAAGGGAACATTTAAGGAAAGTTTGAAAAAGTTGTTCTTCAACTATTTTTTCTGAGGAATCACCTTAATCCTGTTGTCTATTCCATGAAACAGAGTTAGTGGATGAGACAAATAAAGGGACTAAATCGAAAAGTTTAATTAGAACGATGTTCAATTGAGTATCAAAAGAGATCAAGGGTTACGTTGGTTTGCTTCACTATTCCCTATGATTGGTCCTTAAAACTCGCGACACTTTCTCAACAAATTTTATGCGTGACTAACAGTAACCTCGACCTGGTTACTCCAGTTCTTACCACGCCTGAAATTGTTTGCTTGTTTTTATTTTTAGGTTCTCTTGTATTTAGACCTGCCACTAATGAAACGTGCATACGTGCAGATTTTGGTTGCAGCTTTCATTTTTCAGAATCATTGTCAATGGTTAGGCTAAGCTCGATCAACTCTAGGAATGGTGGATAAAAGCTGAGTTATTTTAATTTTTCCCGTTGAAGTTACAGTCTTAAACTAAAGCCTTTGAGACTTTAGACTTTTGACACTTCTTTAAAATCTATTGTAAATATCACTACTTTTAAAAAGAAGCTCAAGTTTATCTGGATACAGAAATCTACTGATGAATGATAAAATCGAGAGTTAAAGGTAATCGTTTTTATATATATCTGTGAATTTTTCAGTTTTTGTAAATTGGCATTGAAAAGCCATTTATTGGAATGTCAATAAAATTTGTATTGTAAGTGAACTTGCAGAAGCTAAGCTTTAAGTAAATCAGTAATAAGATAATGGAAGCACACATATGTATACATCATTGATCCTTGGGCTTGATTTTCATTTCAGAACGTTTGAGTGAATAGTAAGCGCCTCGGAAGGCCCTCCAGTTAACCCCTGTTCGGCCGCTGGTATCGTTATACAAACCGTTAAGATTGCATTTAACACACTGAGGATTATCAAACCACCAGCCTCCTCCCTGATTCTCCCGTGCGCAGTGATAGGTTGCTGACTGGTCATTATCTCGATCTTTGGTGGAAAACTGATTATCACTATAAAGGAAATTTACAAATGAAAATCATTATCAAATGACTTTTAATTACAAATAAAAAAATTCATAGAAACGTGTAAAAAGAGAGGCAAGACAAATACGAAGATTTCAGATTTGCTTTTGAGTGTTATTTGACTTTTTTCAGGATGTTCGTATTTTGTCTTAATCAATCTTTTAAGGTGGGACGTTCTTTAACAAATGGTAAACACCACAGCGTACACTATTGAGTTATGGATGCACGCGGGAGGTTGCTAAGCACGAAAGAAGCGTAAGAGTCGCTCGAGGCGATAGCCGAGAGCGACTCTAGCTTCTTGAGTGCTTAGCAAACCTCCCAAGTGCATCCATAACTCAATAGTGTACGCTGTGGTGTTTACCATTTGTTTTATAACATAACATTGATACATTGTAGCTAAAGAGTTCCCTTTTATTTAACAAATCTTACGCGACCAGAAAAAACAAGCGCGCGCGGAAAAATAGTCTTTGCATTTGCTCACGTCAGCAGCGTACACCCATGGGCAAATGGGGGACGCTAAATTGACCAATCAGAGCGCGCGCTTTACTTTGGTTATGTTATAATTATAATTATTGGCTTGTAGAAGGTCATTTGGCTTTGTTATAGTTCCCAAATTCCGAACTTTTACGTGTAAAAAAGGTCTTGAAAAATTGTATGTTTTACGTACTTATGAGATGTGAAGGAGTCACCGGCCTCGCCAGTATATCCTCCAAGAGTGAGCGTGTAATTTTCGGCCTCGTCTGTGACATTGAAAGTGGCGTACTTAGCATACGTGATGCTCCCTTCAAAGTCTTCCAAGTCAACTCTCAACATGACGTCATCAGCGGCTGTCAAAAGGTGAAGATTGTCGTTTCCAAGCCAGAACTCGCCGATCAGATTTCCAAACCCGTCTTTGTAAGTTTTCCAGTCTCGATCGAAGTCAACGGAGCCGTCCAAACGTCTCTGGAAAACGGTCCAACCTCCACCGTCCGTTGCCATGTCACACAACACTTGAATTTGTTTCCCTCCATCTGGATTGATCGTGTACACTCCACTGGATGTGACGCCATCTTTAAGGAGCTGCTGGCAGCTTTGTGCTTCTGCCGTATGCGTAACGGAAATAAATCATAAGGTTGACTACACTTCTTTGATAAAGCATTGCGAGGAGAGCTGATGCGGTAATTCAGGATCTTTACTGTTTGCAAGATTTTTTGTTAGATGATTATGAACACAGCAGTCGCTTACCTTAAAGCTCACCAGTCGGATTCTCTGTTCCCATAGGACACCCAGATTGTTGTATTGTCTTACGCTCTTGAAAAAGCGAGGGACAACTATCGTTATTTCGCAACTCGAACTCAAAATTCATTACCTTTCGTTTTCTTAATAAAAATGATATCCTCATTCGGTGTATCCAAAAATACAAAGAAAGATCGACTAGGAAATTTGACCAAGTGATAACAATGTGAAAAATTCCACTTTAAGGAAGCCTCCAGTTGCAGATCAAGTTAACTTTGAGGTGAGCAAAACACCTCGTATTTAGAAGATTTTGTTCCAAACATGCATTCTATCAGTAGAGAGTCGAAAATTAGTGAAAGCGCCAGCCACAATACTTACCGCATGGTTTTCCAGTATATCCAGACGCAGAACGACATTTGCATTCTGCAGTGTTGTTTTTATAATTGGGAACACAGATTTCTTTTTTTGCACAAAGGAAAGAATTGACCTCACAATCGCTCTGTTGAAACAAAAACACCTGATTACTTTTACTACAACAAATGTATCCTATAGACTGATTGTTTGATAGACTTTTAAAATTGCACCTGTTTCATTTTTCATATTGAATTGTAAGCTTCTAGACTGGCCAACACAAAGATTCCTGACCGGATTAACACTCAGTGTTTTAAATTAACTGAGGGGATTGTAACGCCTTTGCTCTGATATCTGCAAATGGTTGGACGTTCTTGTCTTCTCGCACAAGAACGATTGAGTATCACCTAATTGTTCTGAATTCTAGTTACCAGTGAGCTGAAAAGAAACTGGATACAACGTCTCTGTTGCTGAAAGGGGAAGCAATAGTATCAGAAAAACAGACGTGGTTCAAATTGTCCAAAAGCACGTAAATAACCTAGACAAAAGGATACGTAACGCAATTATTTTTTCCAAAGTAAATCTAAATCAACCTGGTAAACTTATGCTTTCGTTGTGCCCTTCCTTGGTTTGTTTGGAATATCGCCCACTGTGTATGTAGACTTACGGATGAGTTGATTATAAAAACTCAAAAATTTTATTTTGATTCTGAGGATTCACCACGAGGTTTCTATGGATGTAGTTCCGTTCATAAGGAAGGAACACTATTAATTAATAATTTTCTTTAGTTGCCAACAAGTTCGCTGATGAATTATTCTCAGAGTCAAATACAGACAATTGAGAGATATGTTTTATCAACTGATCAGTAAAAAAATAACAGATGGCATTTTCTACATGAGCTTTGTAAAAGATATATTTTTCTTTAGCAAAGTTAACGTTACAATCACAATAGCAATTATATTATACCTTTAAAACTTTAATGAACTCACAAAAAAACAATCTTTTTGTAATACGCTTGCCCAAGAAAAACATCCATATGGACTGTTTCCAAAGAAAAAAGGGAAATTCTAGCGCAATTTAAATAATTGAAAAGTTTTTTGTGTGCTGCAGATGCTTACCTCTCACATAATTAGAATTAGCCTAAAACTTAAATTTGCGATCAAAGAACTAAAAAGCAACTCTTCAAGGAGTTTTTACCATCTTTGATATTCTCTTTCCATTTTATTCTTAGAACGAATCCTTATCTTCCAATTTTACCTGAGAATATTGAGAATATATGGTTTTAGTTTCACAGTTGATTACACTGTCCTTGTTTTACACTTTATATAATTCATTTTTCCCGTCACTAAAGGGCGAGGGGGTTTGAGTTTTCTTTTTTAATCCGAAGTTGTTTCAGTAGAATCCTGAAAGACTCAAAAATTTACACATCATGTCAGCGAACACTTTTGCAAAGTCAAGTTTATCATAAAGGGAATATAAAGCCTCTCTGCTTCGTTCTAGAAAATGATATTCAGAATTTCTTACCATCATTCCTCTGTACAGAAATTCGTTGTCTTTGGTGAAGTTCCTGAAGTCAGTGAAGCGATCAGAGTCGCTTAGTTGACATTTAAACTTCTTATTTGTTCTGGATCCAAAGTTGTAGGACACGCATGAACTTTCTTCCACACACTTCAGTTGACATAGACCCTCTGAATCCACTTCTATTTCTCTAATAACACTTCCATTAAGACGTCGTCCCCTTATTTCTCTGGCAAAGTTAACCGCCCTGAAGTCAGGTGTTATGATTCGAGGGTCTCCGCATGTAAAAGCAATTGCTAAGGACGCTAAAAGTGGTTTAATCAGATACATGTTTCGGAGTCTCTTACTTAGATGCCTCGGAATCTCTCAGTGGTTGATGTTTATGAAGTTTTTAGTTTTCAACTTCGCATTCTTAATTATTAATGTGTAACTTGTTGCAATTTTAATTGAGCGAAAAGAAAACAATCAATACACAAATTACGTTATTGTAAAGAAGGAGAGTGAAGGTAAATCAAAGATGTTCCTAAGTCATCAGTCGTTACCAGTTCCCGATAAAATGTTTTGGTACTTGCAATTGTACATTTGAGTTTGGGGTCAGATTCTTATTGAACTGGACGCACACACCTGAAGGAGACTTTGGTTTAATTTTGGTGTTTTGACAGAGTTCCAGACCCTCGGCAACCTCTCCTCACCCCTTCTATAATTAGGGACCTTACGCAGTCAGGACGGCAACGCCACTGAAGACGTCGATTAAAAAATTAATTTCTACTTTTAGTTAGAATTTCGAAAATGACGGCATGTGTTTACCGTCTCATAGGGCGCCAGAGCCAATAAAAAAAAAAAAAATACCAGTCCTAGCACTCCTCTGTACAAAAAAAACCAAATTACGAACAAAGAAGTCGCCATCAAAAAAAAAAATGTCCTACATAAGGTTAAAAACCAAGTTCCTAAAAAAAAGCAATTATCGGCCTTGATACAGAATATAGGCAAAAAAAACGAATCGTATGAAATCATGAATAAACCTACCAAAAAAAACTCATTTTTGTCTGTTTTGCTTTTCAACAGTAAAAAAAACTTTACCTTTTTTGCCGCGGGTCTTTTCTTTAAAAAAAATTCCCATTACTTAACGTCGAGCAGAGCGAGAAAAAAAAAACGTGACTGGTATGCGATACTTTCGTCATTGAAAAAAAAAGGTCCCGTCTTCCCACTGTCTTCCCATTGGAAAAAAAATTCAGGAGGCGAGATAATCTGCTGTGTGGTGAAAAAAAATTACAAACCTTTAGGAGCTAAAATCTCGCATAAAAAAAAGAGAGGAATTCCCCCACTTTGAGCGAATTTAAAAAAAAAGTAGATTTGACCGATTTTCGTGAAATTTCGCAAAAAAAAATGACGAACGAAAGTGTCAGGAAATTTTGATAAAAAAAATTTTTTTCACGTTGTGTCCATTTACGCAACAAAAAAAAAATATTTTACGCTACTCTAACTTTTTAGATGCAAAAAAAAAGATAGCCAATCAGAATATCGGAAAAGCTTGAAAAAAAATTTTTGATTGATGTCTTGTGAATAAGATGTGAAAAAAAATTGCTCGTGCTGTGGGATCCGATACCCGATAAAAAAAAAAGAACGACCCTCGGTCGTTTCACGCCTTACCAAAAAAAAATACTCACTAAATGAAGAAATCGTCTAAATTAAAAAAAAATCGTAAACTGCAGTTATTAAGCGTTCTTTTAAAAAAAAGTTTGTTGAGGTCTTGTTGAAACTAGCGCGCAAAAAAAATTTTTCCCGAAGGACACCTGCGAAGGGGGGAAAAAAAAATTGACCTTGCACATTTCGACATATAAAGCATAAAAAAAACAAGTTTTTTTTTTCTTAAGAGAAAAGTTAAAAAAAAAATGGTTTTAAGAATGCATTAATATTTCGCCGCAAAAAAAAAAATTTTTGTGAAAGACTTTGTTTTTCTTTTAAAAAAAATTGTCAAGAATGAATTATTCCCTTTCAAAATAAAAAAAAAATTAGTTATTTGTGGTGTATAAAATTTCTAAAAAAAAAACCTTGTTTCGACAAAAACAAGTTATGATTCAAAAAAAACTGACGTATGGTACCTAACAAACAATCAAATAAAAAAAATTAGTAGAATGGGTTTATGTGCAGAAAGTGGA